GAGGGGACGCGCTCTCTCGGCGGGGCTCCTGAAGAGGAATGGAGTGAGGCGGCTCTGCGCAGTCGGCCCTCGTCCGGAGAGGGAGGGAGGGAGGGAGGGGCGGCGAACCTGCCCCCAGTGGCTCCCGTGTTAAAGCTGAGCCCAGCACCCTGAGGAGAGAGGGGGAGGGGGCAGAAAGAGACACCCTTTCATCCCCCTTATGCGGCGGCATAAGAGTTTTTTCCCGTGAGTGATCGAAGGCCGCTGTTAAACCGCGACCTGTCTCGTCGGCGGGAGCCCAGGAGCTCGGGCAGGAAGCGCCCTGCGGGCGTCTGGGCTTCGTGCCTTCGAGCTGATCAGTCCTACTAATTCCCCCCGTCCCCCCGGCTCCACAAATACACGGCTCTCGAAAAAAACTTTATCAAAACCAGGCCACAGCCTCCACCCCAAGGGGGGGGTCAGAGATCAGGACTCCCACGGCATGGCCGTGTGATCCACTCTGGGTTTTCCTGACCACAGCGCTTGCTGGGCTGTGCAAGTGGCAGCCGGACTGCGCTGTGAAGCCCGGGTTCTGTCCAGGACCGGAGAGAATTCCTGCCGTGCGCCACATGTCCGTCTGCCGAGCCACCAGCCCCCCCCCGCGGAGTAGGAAACGGGATCCTGGCCCGCTCCGCTCGCGTCCGTGAATCGGAATCCGTGGGCGAGAGAGGTTGGAATCCGGACGGCCCCGGCGCGCGCGCGTTCGGGCTCCGTGCTTTCCGGTCGCACGCCGCCGGAGCAGAGGCAGGAGAGCTCATCCGTCCGCGGGAGTCCCAGGGCTGGCTGATGGGATTGGCCGCCCTCTGTCGTGGCGGAGAGGGGAGCTCAGCGATGTTCCCCCATAGCTCCCCGCCCTCTCCCTGCCAGCGCTCTGACTGACTGCCCCCCCCCTCTCTCTCTCTCCCCGCAGGTGTTCCGCAGCGGGGAGGGCATGGGCATCCGGCTGGACAGCGCCTCCGCCTTCCAGGGGGCGGTCATCTCCCCGCACTACGACTCTCTCCTGGTCAAGGTCATCGCCCACGGCAAGGACCACCAGACCGCGGCCACCAAGATGAGCCGGGCGCTGGCCGAGTTCCGCATCCGAGGGGTCAAGGTAGGTCACCTCCCCTTCGGGGCGTGTTTATTTCTGGGGGGCTGGGGGGGGGGCGCGCGGTCTGACGCTCGGACCAGCCGACGACACTACGGGGCTGGGGGAGCAGGGCTCCGTGATCGACTGGTTGGGTCTTTGAGTTGAACTGTCTCTGGGTGCGATTGAGCGTTCTG